TTTTTTTTATTTTTTTTTTTTTTTTTTTGAGAGCTGAAGTTCCGCTCCCCAATCGGCAGCGCTGGAAGAGTGCGCAGTTTGGCGGCAATTGCTTCGTGCTCACCAAAAAAAAAAAAAAAAAAGAGTTAAGGGTTATTCTTATGATGGATGTCCCAATTACCCTGATGTGATCATTACACATTGTATACATGTATCAAAACATCACCATATGCCCCATAGCAAGTACAGCTAAGATATGTCAATTAAAAAATAGACAAAAAAATCCAATTAAGGCTTATAATCACCAAACTGCCTTACAAATTTTTCTTAGAGTTTTTTTTTTAATGAAAATCCAAAAAGTCCATTTGCAAGGTAGCAACTGAAAAAACAAAACAAAAACTTTACTTTGTGGAACACCATAAGAAATGCAAGTTTCAAAAACTGACATATAAGATTAAATACAGCATAAGCACATTACAATATAGAGCCTCTAAATTGCTAAAATGACTAAATAAAAAATTAAAATATCAGCATGACAGGATTCTAATACTTTTAAAAAATATAAATTGAAATGTAATTTCAGTGCATGAAGCTCATTTTTATAAAACTCACCTTGTCTAGATTTATGATCATATAGTTTGGATAATCTTCCACTAAAGAGACAATCATATGTGATGCACTATTAAAAAAAAAAAAGTATATCTTGTTAGTGAAAAATTTTAAGTTCCCTAAACTCTTGAATATTTTCCTAAGATGTTGAGTACTAGGAAAATACTCAAAGATAACTTTAACTTTTTTCTAAGATAACAGAAAACAGTATAACTATACTAAATATACACACAAGCAAACTTTTTACCAAACTTCTCAACAGTATCTATACACAAAAGTTTTACATTCCATTTAGACTATGTAGAAGAGAGAACGTACTGGTTCTGGGTATAGGGGAAAAAGTCAGTTTAACCAAATGATGCCATCCATACATGCACAAGTGTGGAGTAAAGTGGAACGATAAATGGGAGCCAGTCAGCACAACTGTACATGCCTATAGCATGCCTTTTCAGGAACTGCAGATATAAGTATGTAAAAATTAAATTACTATGAGCATAGTCAGTTGTCTATATTTAATAGTAACTTCTGCAATTGCTATTTCTTGGTATAAGATTTTGGTAATGTTAAACTAGAATCCTCAGGAGGGTTCTAGACTGAACCCAGGATTCCCAGGCTAGTAACAGCTGAAACCATCCTGAGTTGGATATCCACTGTGGGTCCTGAGCTTCAGACGACCCTAAAGGGGAATCAGAGGCATATCTCAGTGAAATGATCTACCAGATTTACCATATATACTTAAAATGTTGGGCTCCCAGGAAAGGGCAGCCCTTGACCAAATTATGAACTTGGAGTTGTAGTTGGCATTCCTTTCACAGCACTTTCTACGTCGCCCCCTTCCTGGACCTGCACTCTCACACAAGTATTACCCTTTCATGCCCATAGTCCTCTTTCTCATTAAGTGAAACTTGCCAGCCTGATGCTGTCCCCCAAGTGATTTGTCAGATTAGAAGGGTGATTTAATGTGCAAATGGCCATAAACAGGAATCCTCACATTCCCTTTTCTTCCACTAGACACAGAGTTCCTTGACGGGAGGATGGGAGAGTTTCCTGTTTATTACTCTTGCATTCATCCATTCCACAATTACTAAAGACTTATATAGAATGGGCCAGGCATTCTTCCAGGTGCTGAGTGAACAGTAGTCTCTGTCCTTACCATGTTTGCATTTTAGAGTGGGGATGCAAACAATAAACAAGCAGACACAAATCCGCAATACAATTGCAGGTAGAGGTAAGTGTGCTAGTTGGGAAAGAGGCTATTTTAGATATGGTGGTCAGGTAAGAACTCTCTGAGGAGGTGAAATCTGGATAAAAACCAGAATTGAGTGATGCAAACAGCCTAACGAAAGGGGAAGCAAGTGCAAAGCCCTCAAGATAGAAGTGTGTGTCTTGGTGTGTTCCAAGAACTGTAAGAGGGGAAGCATGGCAGGTACAGAAAAGCAGATCACGTTGCAAAAGTAGGGCTTGGGCACTTGAGTTTTCTATATAGGGTAGAGTTTGGGCTTTATTCTAAGTGTGGCAGGAACCACTGAAGTAAAATCCTGCTCCTAACATGACCTGATTAAGAAACACTGACTTGTATGTGAGCAACAGGCTTTAAAGGAACATGCGTGGACGCAGTTATGGCCAACCAGGAGGCTACAGCAGCAGTCTAGGCAAAAGATGACGGTAAACATGGGCTAGGGTGGAAAGGGGAAAGTGGTGGGAAGTGGTCGCCGTAAGGATATACTTTGGAAGGAGAGAGGGCTTGCTGATCGAATGTGGGTCTGAGGAAGAAAAGGGTGTCAACAGTGGATGTGTAAATGTTTGGATGTCCTATTATAATCCTCAAATCGTTTTTGGGGTGCCTATGTGTACAGGGCCCATCGTGGGGTGGGGGTGCTCTAGGATGGGGGTGGGAAGCAGTCGGTGAGCAACTTAGGGTAACTTGTAGGCACTCAAGGAGTGACGTGGTGAGCACCTCGGGCCACAGAAGGGCAAGAGTAACACAGGTTTGGAAGAGGCGTTTTAAAGAAGTCACAGTTTCAAAGGAACCACTTCTTTGCACGCCAGGGAGAGAAAAGCTGGTCTAGGTCGTGCATTAGGACCCTCCCATCAGAATAAGGACCCCTCAAAGCTGGACCCAAATTGCCTAGGGCAAGCAGAGCTGCGGGAAAAGGTTGGGGTTTCTGGGGAGCCACTGCCTGGCCATTACCTACATGAAACCAGCACCGCCGGTCACCAGGACCCGCTTCGCAAAGCCGCCGGGAGGACCCCACGGTTCCTCCCAACCCGCTGCCGACATCGCCCAGCTCAGCAATGCCTAGTACCGTAAAGCGTATGGTCTGAAAAGCGCAGGGAAGTTCCGCCGCGACCTTTTGCGACGCGCCTCACTCGCAGGACACGTTAGCAGGGTAGCCAGCGGCAGCTTCCGGCGAGTGCTCTGTGGCCAATTTCTCCCCGCCCACTAGCGGGCTGGGCGGGGCCGCGCTCACCACCGCGCAGGCGCTGCTCCTTTCTCCCATTGCCTGGTCAGCCAGGTGCAAATAGGGTCGCCGGTATGGTGGGGATATGGAACTTTTTTCCCGGAAATGCCACCACTATGGATCAGATTTATGAATGAGTACCTCCTTTCATTCTTGTACTACAGCCATATCTAGAGGTTACCTATCAGTTGAGCTGAGAACGGGGAGTTGTTGCAGATGGAGATGGGAGGTTGCAATTTCAAAATGATTTTTTTTTTAGCCGGGCGGGGACAGGGTCTCCCTATGTTACCCAAGCTGTAGTGCAGTGGCGCGATCACGGCTCATTGCAGCGTCGACCAATGGGGCTCAAGCAATCCTCCCACCTCAGCCTCCTGAGTAGCTAGGAATACAGTCGTGCGCCACCACGCCCGCCTAATTTTTGGTAGAGATGGGTTTCGCCCAGTTGCCCAGGCTGGTCTCGAGCTCTTGGGATCCAGCCAATCTCCCTCCTCAGCCTCCCAAGGTCCTGGGATTACAGGTGTGAGCCACCGTGCCTGGCCTGCAAAATGATCTTTTGCTGTTAATATTATTACAGGCCGGGCGCGGTGGCTTACGCCTGTAATCCCAGCACTTTGGGAGGCCGAGGTGGGCGGATCACCTGAGCTCAGGAGTTCGAGACCAGCTTGGGCAACATGGTGAAACCCTGTCTCTACTGAAAATACAAAAATTAGCCGGGTGTGATGGCGGGCGCCTGTAATCCCAGCTACTCGGGAGGCTGAGGCAGGAGAATCGCTTGAACCTGGAAGGCAGGGGTTGCAGTGAGCCGAGACTTCACCATTACACTCCAGCCTAGGCAACAAGAGCGAAACTCCGTCTCAAAAAATAATAATATTATTACAGACAGTGCAGAAGGCTTGCAATCATGATAACGATATTCCCTAGGTCCTACCCTGATATATTATCCTATTCTCCCCTTTGCTCACTCTGCCCCAGCCTCCCCACCCTCCTTGCTCTTCATTGAATGTGCCAGGCATGCTACTTCCCTGGGACCTGGATGGCCTTTCCCCAGATGTCTGCCCAGTTTTTACCCTTACTTCCGTTTTCAGCTTGAATGGCATCCTATTGACCACCACAATTAAAATAGCGAGCTCTGCCCAAACCTGCCGAATCATCTTACCCTTCTTTATTTTCCTTCCTAGCACTCAACATTTACACTGATGTAACTGCCCTCTGTTTAGTGTTCCATGGGGTCAGGGGGTTTGTTTTGTTTTCTGCTGTAATTGCATGTCCTCAGAGACTTGGTACAAAATAAATGACCATTAAATATTGTCAAATAGATAAATATCTTTTCTTTCCCCAACATAATGTTTGGCAAAGCTGAAAACGAATGGAAACGTCCAGTACAGGTATATATGTGGAAGTATCACATCACAACCTTTTTATAGGGCAAAGTGGTAATATATATGAAAATTTCAAATGTTCATATTCTATGCCCCCCCGAATTCCATGATGTATAATGTAAATAATTGTTCATTGCTGTATTGCTTGCAATAATGAAACACTGGAAATAATCTAAATGTGTATAATGTCTTCTAACTTTTAAAATGCAGTAGACTGTTTTATAGCCTTTAAAAAGAATGCACCAACATGGAATGAAGACCAAAATATACTGCAGTCGATACCTACAGTTTTTTTCTGACCAGACTCCTCCCCCCACCATCCTTTATGATCTCCCCAAGTTGACCCAGGCAGGCCACAGAATGGAATCTGGCTGACTCTAAGCCAACTGAAGCCTCTTCTTGGGATTTAGAATTCGACTAAGGTGCTAGTATAGTCTGGTTACTCTACTTGAACTCTGAGGTTCTACAAAGCTGCAACTTTTTGGTGGCCATGTTCTTTTAAAGTAACTGAGGAGCCAAAAAGCTTGTCTTCACAGTGAGAAAAACCAAGTTGATGGAGAAGAAAGAAAAGATAGGAGAGGCCTAACAGCATTCAAGGCCTATGTTATGATTTTTCTTCAGGACCAATTTTATTCCTTTCCTTGGTTTACAAATACCACATATTTTTGTGGTATTTGTGACTTACTTGAAAGGATTCACCCTAAACTCTTAAAATAAGTTACCTTTGGGGATGAGATATGGGCAGGGAAAGGAGGAAATGGGGAGTTTAATTTTTACTTTATATACTTTTGTTTTCTTGAGACAGAGTCTCGCTCTGTTGCCCAGCCTGGAGTGCAGTGCCACAGTCTTGGCTTACTGCAACCTCTGCCTCCCAGGTTCAAGTGATTCTCCCATCTCAGCCTCCAAGTAGCTGGGATTACAGGTGCATGCTACCACACCTGGCTAGTTTTTGTATTTTTAGTAGAGATGAGTTTTCACCATGTTAGCCAGGCTGGTCTTGAACTCCTGACCTCAGGTGATCCACCCACCTCACTTCCCAAAGTGTTGGGATTACAGGCGTGAGCCACCACACCCAGCCCACTTTATATAATTTTGACTGTGAATTTTTTTCTGAGACACATGGATTACTTTTATAACAAAACCCTTGCAGTTTTTTTAATCCCAAAATATTAATACTTCCAGCATATTCAGCCAGAAATACTGAAAATGCTGGGTATATGGTAGGAGGTGGTCCCTCAATATTTTTTTTTTTTCTAAATGGTGAGGTCTGTTATGAGAACTTGCTTATATGTTATAGAAGCTTGTTGTTAAATGAAAATCATTTATATACATTTATTCATGAAATAATTTTGAGTTCCTACTTTTGTTACCTGTGGAGGGTCTTGCACTGCAGTCCAGGTTCTTGGCATTTTGAACAAAGAATTGGACAAAAGGCACAGCAAAGCAAGGAAAGAATGATGCAACAAAAGAACGAAAGCAGAAATTTATTGAAAATGAAAGTACATGGCCGGGCGCGGTGGCTCACACCTGTAATCCCAGCACTTTGGGAGGCCGAGATGGGAGGATCTCTTGAGGTCAGGAGTTGGAGACCAGCCTGGTCGACATAGTGAAACCCGGTCTCTACTAAAAATCCAAAATTAGCCGGGTGTGGTGGTGCGCACCTGTAATCCCAGCTGGAGGCTGAGGCAGGAGAATCACTTGAACCTGGGAGGCGGAGGTTGCAGTGAGCCGAGATTGTGCCACTGCACTCCAGCCTGGGCGACAGAAGGAGACTCTGTCTCAAAAAAGAAAATGAAAGTACACTCCACAGTATGGGAGCCTCCCGAGCAGCGCAGAAGGACCTGGATACATAATCATCTTGGGTCCAAATACCCTCTAGAGGTTTCCCACTGGTCACTTGGAGCTCACCTCATGTAAATGAAGTGGTGGCCCCCAATAGGTCTGAATCCTTGCAGAAAGCAACGAGTCAGAGTCTGAAGTGGAGTTACAAAGGTCACACTCCTGTGCAAACATCTGATTGGTTGCAAAAAGCAATGTTACAGAGTTACAAAGTTGCACTTCTATGCAAACGAAGACTCAGCTGGCAATCAGTCTGATTGCGTAGGGACAGCCAATTTCTTATCTGCCTCCAGAAAAGGTGGGGATTTGCAAAGGGCATAGCCTGTGGTCCTTTTGTTACTTAGGGTGGAAAGTTAGGGTTTTTCTTTAAATTTAGTTCTAGGTGTGAAAAGGCCTTAGGTTCCCTGCCCCCAGGCCCTATTCTCCTGCCTCACTTTCATTAAGACAGGTAGGGCACGGTGGCTCACGCCTGTAATCCCAGCACTTTGGGAGGCCAAGGCGGGCAGATCACCTGAGGGCGGGTGTTCGAGACCAGTCTGATCAACAGGGAGAAATCTCATCTCTACTAAAAATACAAAATTAGCCGGGTGTGGTGGCGCATGACTGCAATCCCAGCTACTCGGGAGGCTGAGGCGGGAGAATCGCTTGAACCCGGGAGTCAGAGGTTCCGGTGAGCCGAGATCGAGCCATTGCACTCCAGTCTGAGCAACAAGAGCGAAACTCCGTCTCAAAAAAAAAAAAAAAAAAAAGAATAGTCGCTGATCAGCTGGAGCTGACAGTAGAGGCGGAGATTTCAGACACATGAATGGATACTTACAGTACAGGGACTGAGCGCTCTGATAGGGAAGTAAGGGATTCTGGTGCCAGGGGCAACTACTACAGACTTAGGGGTTTGAGAAAGGCTTCTTAAAGTGCCTTAGGAAGGAGGAGTAAAGGAGGAAAAGGAAGGTGAAGAGGTCCAGTATTGGAATAAGCAGAAGTATTCCAGCCAGAGGGATCAGGAAGTGATAAGGCCTAGAAGGGAGAACTTGGGAGTGTTCAGGAAACCGACGGCGGTGAGGATGGAGATGAGAAAAAAAGTGGACATTTGAGAGGCTGGAGAGCCATGAGAACCTTTTGCAGCAAATTGTTTCCTACAGCTTTTCTGTGCCTGTAGGATAGAGATGGACTGTAGCCAATTAGAATGAAGACTGTAAAGACGGTCTTTGCCATAGGCCAAGAAAGTGATGAACCGCGTAAGACTGTGGTGGCTGCTTCCCACCCTCACCAGAAGAGGGGCTACTCCACACTTGTAATTGAATTGATTGAATGGGGGCTATGGGCGGCTACAATTCCCAGCGGTCTGGTCTGCGGGGCGCGGGGCGCGGGGCGCGGGGGGCGGAGAATAATAAAAGTCTAGAAGCCAGAGAACCTAGGAGGGGAAAATCGACTGGAGATGCCAAGAGAAGTCATGCGTTAAACTGTGGTCTTGCGGACCTAAGTGTCTTTGAGGCATTAAATCAGACACGTCCTGTCGGTTATACAGGCACCGAGGAAGAAAAGCTGCATAAGAACACGATTTTTTCTTTGCGGGAGAGTTTTTCTCTCTCGACCAGAGACAGTCCTGTCCTGTGTTATCTTAAGTTTTTCCGAATCTCACATGTCCCTCGAAGGCCAAGCGGACTAGTGCCAGCGCGCCCGCGCATGCTCAGTAGCAAGACGTGCT